AAAAAAGAGGTGAAATTTTAGGTTCTGAGAGTATTTTTGAAAGAAAAATCGAAAACTGATGGGTCAAAATATAATTTAGAAAACTTGTGCCACGTAGGATGCTCGGTTAGCAGTCCCGACGAACCAGAACGTGCTGCATGGTAACGGACATTGACGCGGTACCACGCGAGTGATCTGCATGCCAGTGATCGAATGGCTCAGATCCGTTCTCGCGTGCTCAGACGACTAGATTTAAATGCGATCAACGGTGCAAATCTACTTTATATTTAAACGCGATCGAACGGTCCAGATTAGATCACGATGGACAGTCCAGATTCACTCTCTATTTAATCGCGATTGGACGGTTCAGATCAAATGCGATGGACGACCCAAATCAAAAGATGACGAGTATAAATGACCACCTTCACACTAAACTCTAACCTTAGCCGCCAAACCTCGCCACTGCGCTGGAGCCCTTTCCGACCGCCAAAAGAGCTAAAAAATTTTTTTTTTTTTGTGAGAATTCAATTTTAAACACTCACATGCCTAAATTAGAGTAAAAAGACCGGTGGATTGGTTGAAAATCGTGGGCAAAGCTCGGCAGCGCCGCCGCGAGAAATTTCATAAAATGCCTACAATGAGGCCCTTTCCGATTCCCATTCTGCGTAATTTTTCGACCATTGTGATCATCATTTCCTTCTGTACAGGTTGACTGGAGCAAAACACCCAACTGCAACGTGAATGGAGGAGCCACCGCACTAGAGAGCCCCACCGTCGGTGAGTTTTAATTTTTTATATTTTTTCGGCCAATCGAGACCTCTTAACGTGTTTTCTCATAGGGATTGATGCAAAATCGGCCAAAAAATGACCGAAAACAATCGACTTGAGGCGGACCACCGCCGTGCCATAATTCTGAAATTGACCAAAAATGGATCTTGATATTGATTTTAGGTTTTTGGAACATTTGTAGGTACTTATAGCGTATTTTAATCCCCGAAGAAAAATTCAGAGGACTGCCAGTAGGCACAGTCAATAATTTAGCTTTTTAGACATCAAATTGAGTAAGAATCTATCATTCTATTCTTTGTTATGGAATTGAAGTCAAATTAACAATAGTACGATATTTTGTACAATTTAGAAAATATTTATGATTAATTACAAGTTATTAATGGAGGTAAAACCAGAAATTATTCTTTATTGATTTTTGTCGATTTATTTTACAGTTTGAATGCATAATAATATCTAATTTATTGATTTTATGATTTTGAATATATGTATTGTTGTCTTATGTGACTACTGTTAAATTGAGAAACTGAGATATGATTGTATTCCCTTATGTATGTTTGTTTATATGATTACGGTTGAATTGAGAAACTCGAGATTAAAGGTAAATAGGAACTGTGTGATTAAGTAAATAGATGAAACGACAACCTTACTGGATATCTTGGGAGATGATGGACGGACCGGGTACAATAGGGAACCCTACTGTGAACGTTGTCTCATACCGAACGGGGTATTGAGACTTGGTAATTTGGTGCTTATATTGGATAGGGTATGGGGACGACCTGCTTTATCCTCATACCGGACAGGATATCGAGATTTAGTAATTTGACACTCATACCGGACAGGGTATGGGGACGACTCATTAATTGAGAATGTTAAAGAAAATGGTTCACGTGTAGCTGAGACATC